CTTCGATCTAATACAGATCGCAACCTATAGCGATGTCTCTTAGGGGGTAAAAATTCCATTACCATGTAAAGCAGTTTCCATTTCTGTCCTCTTGCTTTAGTTTTACTGCCGATGCATTCAACAGGGTATGATTGAAAACCTTTTCCAATCCATGCACTTAGACTGGAGGACCTGTGTTAAATGGATCTATCGCTACCATACACTGGATTTTGTTGTTACCCTGCACATGCGAGGTGAAAGTGTTTTCGGTGCAGCATCACTGGGAGGTTTTTGTTTTTTGTTAGTTTGTTTTAAATGACTAGAAACATGTTGGATTTTCCATTTGCTACATCTGTTTATTGTGCTTTTGACCCCGAACAGATTGATTTAATGAATTACTTTTTGAATTCACTATTTGTTTAATTAGAAAATTTTAGTTTATTTGCAGTGTTTGATCCCACACAGCTGCAGCTTAAACTAACCAGCTTTGGCATTTGAGTAATTGCTGATAGAAACGCATTAGCAGTTCAATCTCACTGTGTTTGTATCCATCTGTATGCTATCAGGTATCCAGTGACTCAGCTTAAAGAAATGTCAGTAATTCATGAAAAACTGCAGCAACCTTTGACCACCTGTTGCCTCAGTTCTACATCCTGCTTTATGTGCCACATTTATGCATGTAAATTTAAGTTAAAGTCCCTCTTTAATTCATCCATCCATCCATCCATCCATCATCTATACACCGCTTAATCCTCACTAGGGTCGCGGGGGGGCTGGAGCCAACTTAGGGCGAAGACAGGGGACACCCTGGACAGGTCACCAGTCTATCACAGGGCCACACTTAGAGACAGACAACCAAGCACACTCACACCTATGGACAATTTAGAATCACCAATTAACCTCAACGTGTTTTTGGACTGTGTGGGAGGAAGCTGGAGAACCCGGAGAGAACCCACGCTGCACGGTGAGAACATGGAGACTCCATGCAGAAAGATTCCGGTGCACGCGAACCGGCAACCTTCTTGCTGCGAGGCAACAGTGCTACCAACTGCGCCACCTTGCAGCCCCTGTCAGTATATCAAAGCTACATATTTAAAAGTTTTGGGGGATTTTTTTAACATCAAAAGAATTGGTTCCTGACATGTAACTTGTGTTGTATCCTCTAGAATGTGCAGATGTATGCAGTCTAATCTACAGCTGCTCTCCTCAAACACTGTTGCTATACCATGCAATGGCAAGTTGTACTATCGGAGGAATACAGCAGTACATGTTCAAGCCAGAAACCACTTCTGAAGCATGACAGGATTGGTTCCTTCTGTTTGTTATGTATGAAAGTCTGAATGTCTGAATCTATGTTTTGGGGCCTGTCATCGATACGCTGCAGCTTTAGTCATGGTGCTGTCTGCTAATTTCACTCTTGACATGTCTTCTTGCAAATAAAAAAATCATCACACGAACATTTTAACCACAAATTTGATTTTCCCCAGAGGCATTTCTAAACTCTGGAGATATTTCTTTAAAACACATAAGCACAAAATTTTCTTCTGCACTAATGAGAACCAACCTGAGAATGACAGGAAAAGAAAAATGCAGGGTGTCGTCCGTTTTGACAAATGCACACAGGTGTAACGCTGGTCTTCCAAGTACACCTCGCAGCATCAGAATAACATAAAAGTATTACCTTCAACACGCTTTTTCGTGCATTGTTTGTCCTGATAGATGAGACTCGCAGCTAATGCAAACCAGAACCCATGACAAACAAGTCTTAATGCGGTTAGGACATAAGCATCCTGCATCCTCACCAACAAACAAACATGCACAGACACACACCAAATGAAAATTAAAAGAGCTACATTAGCCAGAGCCGCGCACTAAGGGAGCATAAATGAATAGCGTTATGAAATGAGAATTGTCAATTGGCAGCAAAGATTAGTTGGTGTGAGCTGCTTTGTTTTGTTTTCCTGCGGTGAAAAAAAAAAAAAAACATTCCCGTCAATGGGAGAGGCTCTTACCGAACAGCGGTCGGTACAAAGGTCAGGTGATTTGAAATAACCAACAGGCCGCTAGGACACAAAGGACCATAATGAGAATTATTAGCATCCGCATTCAGATTAGTCATGTATATCTAATTCCTGCATGAGGAGTCTTTATCATTCATTTTCACTTTATTTATTTATATTTAGGACCGCTGTGCCATGCATGGTATACTACTAATTAAGTTTAAATGTTTGAGTGATGTGCTCTGGCAGCTCTGTTCTGATCCGCTGCTCAGTTAATCAGTCCTGTGAGTGTCTGCACAGACGTAGCATGATAACACATAAGAATAATTCAGTAGTCCAAGACTTGTGTACAGTTTTACACCGAGGCAGAGATTAAGTTTATATTTCTCTCTTTAAATAGGATGCAGCATCGCTTTGTCCATTGTTATTTTAGTATATAGAGCATATTTATCACTTCGTTTACATTTTCACACCCACAAACTATAGATTTATACCTTTGTCCATCTTTAGCTGAGTGTAACAGTATGTGGCATTGCATATATACTTGCATTTATCTTGTGCACAAGGAGAAAAACATTCCTGAAAGGTACGATCTCATTATCATCACGCTGAGCGCTTGCATAACAGAAGGACTATTTCTAAACATGGTCCTCAGCTGCGCTGGTGGTGAATCCAGTGAAAATGTACGCATATTACTCAGTTGGCAAATCATGTCAAGGTTATCAAGAAGACAGTGGCAGCCCTTATCTAGTGTTTCATTTCCTTTCCATCATGGGGAATGGCAGGGAGCAAGTCCCGCACCGCAAAGCTGCTCTCCAGTGGTGCACTGTAGGGCTGTACCATCACTTCCCATCTGGTCAGCACCTCCCCTCCACTCTGAGCAGCGTCTATGAGAAGCAGAGGGATAGACGGTGGAGTGGAAAGTGACTGGAAAGAGGTGAGAGCAGTGAACAGAGGGAGGATTGTGGAAAGGCAACGCAACATAAAAAAAAAAAAAAAAAAAAAAGGCCTAAGAAGGGAACCTGGCAAAGGTAGTAATGCAAAGCCTGTTGAGTTAGAGCGCAGACATTTGGGAAATCAGAAAAGCTCCGAGCCTGTTTGTGTAGCGAAGGCTTGTGTGTACATGTGTGCATTTATATTTGTTGTACTCTTACCAGCACAATTCTATCCAAACAAAGCACAAAATAAACCCCAGAATAAACAGAGACAGTTTTCTTTGTCCTAGGGCACTATGAATAACATCACCAATGGTGTGTGGCCGGTTTAAATCTCTAAAAGAGGTGAAACTGTAGCACTTAATCATCATGAGAAAACAAATTGAGATATCTGGAAGACAATTCTTTTGTAAAAACAAATAGGAATACGGTGCATCGTATGCCTTTATCCCCATTGACTCAAATGTAGTTAATCCAGGTAATGTTCAATTTTTAGCACTTTTGGATTAAAGCATGGCCACGAAACAGCTTCTGATTAACAAACATTTTGGTTGGCCAGGGGATATTCATTGTTTTCAGGCTTGTACTTGTACAATTTTAAAATCTAGACAAGGCTTTTCTACAAACCAACTTATCTTAAATGTTTAAAACAAACGCGTCGAGAGACAGAAACAACTTTATTTCAGAACTGGACACAGATTCACTTTTAAAACAAAGAAACTCTTTGGATTATCAGACATCCAATAAAGAAGGTAAATGACTGCAATATTCACTTTTTGACCTACAAGGAGCAGAACATTCAATGCAACCTCACAGACACCTGATCTTGACTGATTTGTGCATTATAAAGTTGTTGGTAACACATCAACGTGTTGTTGTCAGACATCAAGCAGAGGCTGAGCAACATCAATGTGCCACCTTATGAGATGTAAATCCAGTACTCACTCTCCTTCTAGCTGTTTCCACCAACCCCTGAGAAACCTGAGATCTATCTACTTGATGTTAAATTTCTACCATGGCTAATCTCGGTGCTATATTTGTCTGACTTTGTCTTCGGCTTGGTGCTGGGATATGGAGATTTTTCTGTTGGATACAGCTGCAGGAACCAATATTAAAGAGAGCAGTGAGACTAAACCGAACCATAAAAGTGAAAGCAGAACAATAACCTTCAGGATGAACTTTTTGTCCTTTTTCCTGACTCCTTGTCAAATTAGATTTATGCCAGAAACAGTAACGTGGCTGGAAATACATCAGACTTAACCTGCTGCGCCAACAAAAAACTGGCTCATCCTTGCTCAGCACACAAGTCAGCAATCTGACAGCTTTGCATGTACGTTTGTTTTGTGGTGATTCAGTTACGTTGACACCAAAATGTTCCGTGCAAATATGTAATATTTAAGAAATAATAATAGCTAATTCTATTTATCTGATCACACTAGGATGGTATAATAGGGGAGCATTGTGATTTAGTTTTTTTTGTTTATATCTGAGCTGTTGATGTGTGTGTCTGCAAACTGGATGCAGTTCATGTAGATAGTGGTTCAACAATATGTATCCATTTCTATATGAGTTATAATGACAAAACAAGGTTCTATAGCAGTGCACAGTGATGCAGCAATGTACTCCTGTGATGACTTTTGCATTCAAGCACACAATGTGTTATTGCGTGTGTGTGTGTGTGGCTGCCGTGATGAGTTTATTATTGTGGCCTTGTGCTGATGATGTGTATCTGCACACAAGATATGGCATTCATAAATGTACTTTCTCATCAGGGAAGTAGCTATTTACAGGACACTGACTATATTTGGTGTCATGACTTGTATGTATAAATGAAGGGATGGGCAGGAGGCAAGAGGCAGGGGGAGGGGAGAGAGAGAGAGAGAGAGAGAGAGAGAGAGAGAGAGAGAGAGAGAGAGAGATTGTTTCTGAGCTCGGAGCCAAAGAGGAATCAGCTCAATTTGCTTAATAAAATTAGGGACAGTTGAACTGCACAAAGCCAGCCGGTGGTTGAAGGAGGACAACATTCATCGCAGGACTGCAGCTCGCTAACACACCAGAAATTTGCCCCAGTGTGTTTCTTGACCACACACCTCCAGTAATTGTGGTTAGAAATTGTCTGCATTGGTCTGACCGCACACCAGCTGTGAGATTTTAACTGAGGCATCGCCACACACCTGGTCATCTCTAAGCCTCTTGTAGACCTGCAGAGTCTTGGTGGGCTCAAAGAGTGGGCCATGCATCACCAAGCAAAGGAAGAAAGGGATCTTCCCAAACTGGAAGGGAATGAGGAAGCCCCCATGTCAGCTTCCACTGAAGCCTTGGACAGTCCCTCCTCTGAGACTCTGGGAGCTCAGGCTGAGCAGGCCCAAGCTACCCAGACCCCCGACCCCCGCAGAGGATGTGGGTTTATCTGTCAGCCCTGGTGTCTGCTCCTTGCACTGACTCTACTCCTGCTTTCTCTCCTTGGCAGCTGGGCAGTGGTCCACCTCACCTTGGGGACTCACGGAGGATCGCCTTTTCGGATCTCGGCCAGCTACGATCAGCGGATCCCACAGGATGATACGGCTACCATCGAGCCACACTTCACCACCAACTGCACCATGGGTAGGTGTACGAACAATTTTTGTGCATTCCTGATTGTGAGTTGTTCACCAGGTGTTAAAAACTTGCTTGTTAAGTTTCATGAGATAGTCTTGTTGTGCAATAATTCCGATCTAGCTTCAAGAATCACAACAAAATAATTGCTTTCTTTTCCCATTTGTGTAATGCATCTTAATACGCTTAAAGATCAAGTCATTGGTTGATAAAATTAACCAATAAAGAAAGTTATTCAGTTTAATTGAGTCACAGGATTGCATAGAAATGCATCGAAATAAACAGAAATGGACTTGGTAGATGTCCTTCTTGTTCTTTCCAGTTGTTTTCTTGGGTCCTAGTGTGTAAGCTGACTAAATGTGTCTCACATGTCAGCAGCTCAAACATGTCAAACTGGAAACTGCACATCTACATTCTGGGATTTTTAACTTGATTACACCATGTTGTGTTGAGACTGAAATAATAACATTCTCTGTCAACCTCGAAAGCTCCTGAAATTGAATTAATGTCACTGATTCAATTTCCTCTGAACTAGATGCAGAAGCACAGCAACCCCTGCCTCGGCATTTAATGTGTGCATTACTGAGGAAATGTAGATAAAATTCTTGTCTCCTCAACCAGACAGATGTTTGACAGGCAGAGAGGTGCAAGATGTCACAACAACTAGATGCTGATTTGCTGGAAGAAAATGTTGTACTGTGCATGTATGAGCCATAAGTAGCCACATGTGTTCAATATAATATACTTATTTGACGTGGTTTTCTAAATGAGTGTTGTGTAAAAGTGCTTCTTTTCGAATGCTTTTAGAAGAAAATTTGTCGAACAGATCTCGCATGAAAAAGAAATAATCAAGTAAAGGACGGCCAAGAGAAATGGCTCGCCAGTAGTTTCTTATCATGGACTAAATTAAATCTTGAAATTGGTAGCAGCACTCAAAGGAAATCCCCACAGTGATGTAGTGCGGCTTATACAATATTGTTCTCACAAACCTCATTTTTTTCGCTACACTTTTGAGAAAACATCTTCTGTAAATATGTTGATTCGAGGTTTTGTATAGACTTTACATATGGGACACGATATAGTGTTCTAGTGCAACTGTACTACAGAGGACATTCTGAATAAAGAGCTATTTTGTGGTTAAAAAAAAACAAAAAAACACCTCCAGTGTCACTGCAACCACAGTGATGGCAGCGTTTTATGTAAAGACCAGAGATACAAACTTACATACAAGACTTTTGGATATTATAATCAAAACATGGGACATGTGGCTTTAGTTTGTTTGGGTTTTATTATTACCCATGTTTCAACAGTGGTCCAGTAAAACTTGTTCTGATCATTTTACAGACAGCATGAAAAATAGCTCACAGGACAACGACGGAGGGCTGAGAATATGTTGTTGTTGCAGTTGCAGAATTTTTCACATCTAAGGAAGTCAGCACAACCTATGAAGCAGACAGAAAACTAAAATGCATCTTTTGCACTCTTATATAGAAACAGTGATGTCACTAGTTGTGCATGCACAACGGCTCGTGCATCCTAAGTTGTGTGTATACTTCTTTGGGAGATAACACAGCTTACAAAGAGTTTATCTATTTTAGATTTGGGGATTTTCACCCACTCATTGTTGTTGAACATCTGAAGATCTGAGATATTTTTAGGCACGGCATGTTTAAAATCTACCTACAGATTTTCAGCTGGACTTTGAGGCACATTCCATGACTTTCAGCTTTCAGTTTCTTAAGGGGTAAATTTTAAAGTCTTCTTTGGATCATTGTTCTTTTGAAGAGGAAAGTCTCTTGTCACTTTCAGGAATAGCTACATGACATCTGAGCCCAAAATGTTCTGATATTTAGTGGAATGTATTCTGTTCTCTTTTTATCCAGTGGTGCCTGAGCCACTGGCTGTAATACAGCACCAAAGCAGAATATTTCAGCTTAAGAGTGTGCAAGGTGTTCTTTACATCAAATGCTGCGCCTTTGAACTTATCTGTCTACAGCACTTGTTTCTGGAATTATTCTGGCTACAGATGTTGCTTTGCATCTGTCAGATGGTGACTTTTGTGACGTGGCCACGCAGTAGAACTCTTGTGTCAGGTAAACCTTCAGGCAGATACTTTGCAAGATGGCAGTTTGTCTTTCCTTTCCGAGCAGATGTTCAGTTTTATCTGAAAGTTTTTTTTTTGTCTTCCATATCTTGTTTTGACTTCCACAGCCCCCTTTAACTGTCATTTTAGACAACTGGAAGCTGGAAGGAATTAGATTTCTTTCTATAACCTTCCCCTGCTTTGTAGACATCAATGTTCATGATCTTTAGATTCTCAATCATTTAGTTAAAGCAGCCTATAGAAAATTGTCAACAGTTCTAATGGCAATTCTTGACCCACCTGACAAGTCCTAATTAAGGCCATGAAACTTTATAAGTGGACAGATGCCAAAGCTTTTACACTTACAGCAATTACATACCACAAAAGTAAATTGACTGTTGACAGTCTTTTAATGTGCCTGTTTGTTGTAGGGGTTGAATTTAGGCCTTTTAACTTTTAAAAAAAAACATCCACAAAATATGCACTTTTCCCAAACATTTGCATACAGCTGCATGCGAACTATTGTTTCCCTGCCAGAGGCTTATTATCACTGTTAGTTGCCTTGATTTTTGGAAGGACATTTTGGGTGGATCACTTGGACAAAAGACTGACAGATGGACCAGCATTGAGTCTACTCTGTGTGACTGCTTGTTATGCTGCGCGCTGAAAGGCATTCAAATGGGCTTTACCTTGTTCAGTAGTTTTATATTAAACAATGCAGAACATCTTTTAAAAAAAAGGTGATCATTCCCAGGGGCCTCTTTTTGAATTCAGAGAGATGCTCGCAGCCCAGCAAATTTAATCCCTCCCTACTTTTATAGATGCAGAGTCTCTTTGCGCTGAGCAACAGTGTAATAGCTTTTATGCTGGGTCAGCGTTTAGCTCCGGATGAATGAGGTGCATCGCTCAACGGGAAAGACTCGTCTTGAAGATTTGTCTTTGCGTTTGAATCCAGTGGGATGTTTGGACTTGAGGTCAGGTCAGAGCAGGAAGATTTTTTGAGATTCTCACGGTTTGCCACCTGATAACAAATCAGAAGCATCTGATTCTACATTATCTGGATTTGGCTGTCAAATAAGTCAGTGTGTTTGTGAGTGTGGGAAAGAGAGGAAAAGAGGAAAAAGAAATGCAATTCATATTTTATATTTCCTGCACTATAGTCCTCAGCGCTGCATATCTAATCATACCTCTGACATTAATGTAATTTATCCCTAATCTAAAACATAAATATAGGTTCAGGCCCTAAAGTAGTGTTTAGGAACCAATAACGCCCCATAACCGATCTCGAACAGAAGCATAAAACCATGAAAAACACATTCATATATAACTTAAGTTCACGTACAACAGATTGATTTCAAGCTCACTGCAGTGTTGGTGCTTCTCCTGGGATTCCTTGTCTAACTGTCTTTTCTGTCACTGTTAGGACCAAGCAGAGTCGGTGCTGCTGCTCATGCAAATTCAGCTTTGGTTGAACAGTGTCTAATTGTTCTCAGCTCTGGGTTCACTGTGTTCCTCTCGCCAGGCAGCACATAAGCTGCGGCCAGTAGAGAGAAAAAGCATACAGACGTGTCGTACTCTCCTCAGGCACCACCTGAGTCCCCAGCACAACACCCACTACACACATCCCACTCCCAAAGTAAGCCCTAATCCATCTCGGCACGCTCGCCGTGCGGCCTCACCACATTTCGCGGTGTTCTAAACCTCCCCCACTTTCCCCTCCAGCACCTGTCACAGGCCTGGGCTCGAATTACCTTTCTTCCTACCTAGTACAGAACATGAAGGCAGGGTGTTCGATTAAGGCTCTCAGACTCAGTCCCTGATAAATACAGCTGTTTGCTTTATTCGTTCCAGTCCCATACGCTTAAAATTAGCTAATTACTGCTATTAATGACATGTATTGTCAGGCTATGGGGATGAAAACTACAAAGACTGATCCAAACTTGAGTGTGACAAACTCTATTTAATTTGGTTCAGGTGATTTCATTTCAATGGATAGGAGACTGGGGACACAAAATGTTCTGTATTTTCACTGTTTTTGTGTAAGAGTTTGCTGCCGACTTCGAAGGATTTTGCAAAACGAGCGAATGATCCACTGTGACGATTTTCAAGTCACTGAGAGAGAAAAACATGCTAATGATCAATTTCATGCCCGAGCTCTTGTGGTGTGTCATCTTTGGAGCAAGTCTTCCCTGAGATATGCAGCATTAACAGTCATAGGTCAAAATATTCCCAATTTATTGTCACTCAATTCAAATTAAATACATCGTATAGATTCCAACTAATTTAAATCCCCTTGTGATGTTTTGAAACTGAACTGGGATTTTGACAATGTCCATTTCCTCTGTCTTTGTTGTTTTCTTGAGCAGAAAGACAATGATTACTCCAGCTAGTGAAGTGCAAAGAGATATAGTCAATACAGGATAAATAAATGGAGCAGTGTCTGACTTCTTTCTCCATACCCTTCCACTTTAATTAACTCATCAGTCACTGGACCAACAAGCAATCCAATTTGCTGCCCCTAAAGTGACTTGTGTGGCTATATGCCTATCTCTGGAGCTCATCCTTCTGACAGAAAGTTAGAATCCTACCTTCTTCTGCCTGTATTTTTCTCATGGTTTTGGCATAGCTGTACAGAGACCGCAATTACTCAAGCTCAGCAAACATGTCACTGACACTCTTAACCTCCCACGGTTTTTCATCCTGCAAGTAAACAGAGTCTTCTGTGATGACTGACAAGCTCATTACCAGATTGTGTCAATAGCAGATTTGACTTTGCCTCTTTCATACTGCCTCGTTGTCAAGGCAGAAGGTCACAATTTTCTTAACACTTACAGCAGTGTTTGCTCATTGAAGAGCGTATTCGGTATTTGTGCTCATGAATTACCCCGCGAACTGTCACAATTCATTTTTTCAATTGGACATGTCG